CGTGTCTTCCACGCTCCTCCTGCGGGAAACAAAAGACGCAGCCGTCAGGACACATACAACTGCGGGCACACACACACACACACTCTAACTCTGTAGCAGGACGACTAACGTGGAGTCTCATGCAATGATCCTGCGTCGGTGGGAGCTCCAAGACTCTCCTAAGTAGCTCCCCCGACGAGCCCTGATCAGCGGCAGGTGTGTGGCTTCGGGTGTGGCCAGTCCCTCCGCAGGGCCACACCCCTCAGGCCTGCAGGTGGCCGAGCTCCATCCCCCAGGCACACCCACAGACATACACACCCATACCTCGCCTAAACATATGAGTGGGACACAGACTAACACAGCACAGAGAAACACACACATGTACACGCACAGAGAAGGGGAAACGACACCAAAAATACATAATAATAATACACAGGTCCATGACTGCCCAGGGATCCTGGGTCGCCCAGTCCCAGGACCCTGACATTTTTTTTGCTGGGAGTTTTAGAGCCCTATTAGTTAGGTTGCTTACTCTTTAAAATACCAGAATCGGGAGGATGGAGTAGGTTTAAGTTTATTAGATTGATCAGTATTGCTGAACTATGAAATATTTTGGGTGCAGTGCATTTTTTGCATACAGGTATAACAGAATAGCTTTAGTGTTTTTTTGTTTTGTTTTGTTTTTTTAACTTGAGTACGAACTTATACAAAAAGCAGCAAGATATTAAAAAACAGTTTTATTGATTAAAAAACACACTATATCTGATTCATATCGGTATTGGCCAATATCCAAATTTATGATATCGGTATCGGACATAAAAAAGTGGTATCGTGCCATCTCTAATATATATATATGTATATATTGTACTATTCTTAGTTAGCGTATTGTCTGTCTTGTTAATGTTTGTTTATAATGGAGCACTGTAACAAAAAATAATTTCCCCTAGGGATCAATAAAGTATTCTGATTCTGATTCTGATGCTTTGAGGTGGTTTCACATGGCGACTTTGCTGCACTAATGTAAAATCCTGGATTGAAACCTGCTTCTCCCAGCCAGAACACTGAAGAGAGGTTGTGAATGGGTCTTCCAGCATGACAGTGACCCAAAATGTAACTCCAAGGCAACAAAAGAGTGGTTAAAGAAGAAGCACATAAAGGTTGTGGAGTGGCCTAGCTGGTCTCCAGACCTCAGTTCTGTAGGAAATCAGTAGAGGGAGCTGAAGCTTCAAGTTGCCGAGCAGGCACTCTTCTCCAAGTACGTCTCCAAGTAAGTCGTGTTTTGCTTGGGGATGAAATACTTCCTTTACTCAATGACAAGCAAATCAATCTATAACTGTTATGTAATGTGCTTTTTCCTGGATTTTGGTGTTCATGTCTTTGTAAATGAGCAAACTTCCAAATAATGAATTAATAGTAATTGGTACTAAGGAAGCCAAAGTATGCAAAGAAAATAGATCCCACCACCACCAGAATGAACTGTTGATAAAAGGCAGGATGACTTCATCCTATAATTTTCTTTTTTGCCAGATTCTGAACCTACCATCAGAATCAGATGATGCAATGTTTTATTGTCCAATTTTAGTGAACTAATGCCAACTGTGGCCTCAGTTTCCTGTTCTTACACAGGAGTGGCAACTTGTGTGATTTGCTGCTCCTATACTTCAAAGTTCAATGTGTTGTGCAACCTGAGATGTTCTTCTACATACCCTGGTTATAACTAATGGTTATTTGAATTACTGTTGCCTTCCTATCAGACTGAAGCAGTCTGGTCACTCTTGTCTGAACTTTGGCATGATAAGGCATGTTCTCCCAGAGAACTGCATTTCAGTGGATAGGTCCTTTTTTTCAGGCCATCCTCTGTAAACAGTATAGAAAAACCCCAGTACACTGGACGTTTCTGAAATACTCACACCAGCCTGTTTAGCATCAAAACCCATGTCACATTTTGTGTTACTCACCTTCCTTTTCTATTCTGATGCTCAGTTTGAACTTCAGCAGGTTGCCTTGGCTATGTCTACATGAGTAAATGGAGTGAGTTCCTGCCATGTGAATCACAGCTGAACAGCTGTACCTAACAAAGTGGCCAGGGCCTGTGTGAGTGCGTATTTTAGGTGTCATGATTGAAGAATACCTAAGTTATCTTTATGATCCTTTCAAGGGCAAGTTAACATATTCCACTATTCACACGTGCTCTGACAGAAAATCCTCTGGGATACTTGAATTCTCTTTTCCATATCCTCCAAGAACTGTGTCAAATAAATAGGTGACAATTTCAGTTTCCAACTTCATCAAACACATTGCTTCCAGAAGGATATATATTAAACGGGCATGCTTAGAAAATTACACATTGGTTAAAGCATAATTTGTACATTCATTTGAGTGAACTTTTCAATTAGCAATGACTGATAACCTTATTAAAATGAGAAAAGGGTGCATAATCACTCCACTATTAAATCTTTGGTTTTAAACTACCCAGAAAAGCGATTTAACTAAAGTCCACCCGATTTGACCTTTTATCGTCCATTTATTTTCATGTGTTTTTTTCCCCACATGCTCAAAAATGCATTGAAAGCTGTGAGCCAAGAGGACATCATGTTGGTGAAATAGTCCTAACTGAAAGCTTTTGTTTTGCAATAAAAAAATTCAAGTCGGGAGAGGTGTAAAGAGCAGCCAACAGCAATCGACAGTCTGAGAGCACACTTTTTTGTGCCAGTGTAGGCCACTTGATGATTCAGAACACTTAATTTTAATAAGGCGGGGTGAGGGTTGGGATGCTAGTTTCCGTGCCTTTTGTCAGCCGAATCATATCTGTGTAAGAAAACTTCCCCTGACATGTAGGACAAATGAGTTGTTTTATTGCACACGGGTGAGTAACTCGACTAGTTTTGAAATAACTCAGAGTGGACAGGAGGTGGCGCGAAATGCTGCTCGTCTGACTGTATGACGACACAGTCACTGTTTCCTTCCAGTCACGGCCACATGGGCGGCGTATGAAAGGCTATCCTCAAATCAAAACCGTAACGTTTCCTGTTAAATTAACAGCCACGTGATATTTATCTCGGTGACTTACACACTTTTAACACAAATTCCCTTATTATTGTCACGAAATATCCACTCACGTCCGGCAACCAAGCCGCGGTTATAATGGTATGTTGAGAATGTTGCTACCCTCATTTAAAATCATTATCTGTTACTGTGTCCGTGTGGATGACAGAACTGCATTAGAAACCAGCACCGAGGCTTTTTGAAGTAATTTAGGTGGGAACTATTTCTTCTATGTGCGGACTGTGACAGACTGCGCAGTGCGTCCCTGTACTTTCACCTTACACTGTAACCTGTGCGTTAATCTATCACAGGCGAGAACGGAGTGCGTGTTTTCCATCGTTTTAAATGCAAGTTGCCTGAAAATATTAAAGGACACAGAGCAGATTATACCAGACCTCAGTACCGCATCCTGCCGTGGACGTGACATTCAACACGGGTTAGTGCCCACACAACCATCCGACCTCATTAATATGTAGGTACGTAACGTCCACGCCGGAGGCTGTCTTTAAATACGGGGAGACACCCCCACACCGGCAGCACTTCAGTCAAAGAGCGTTAGTGTGGAGCTGACACATTCCAACTCCTGTTTTCACCCGTTTCTTTGAAACATTCAAGGTAAGATGGGTCGCATTACTCTGACTCTACACACCACATCTGCACCCAGGACTCTCTAAAGACTGTTTTTTTTATTTAAAGATTTTAAAAGCTGAATCTCTCAAACCGCGTGCTAGAGGACAGACCGGGGCGTGACGATGCGTAATCAGTATTAATTGGGTTCAGCTGCAGATTAAATCAATTAAGATTTCTGTCAGTATTATTTCTTTATTTTCCTTATAGCGTAAGTAAACAAGTCAAGCAGAGGTAACAGGTTGTCTTGGGCATTCTGCAGATGCATAGTTACTTGTGGGCTATTATGGAGTATTTTATTCGCCCGTTGTATAAAATGTAATAAAAACAGGAAATATTCCGACTCGTTGGTGTTTAAAAACCTTTTTATGTTCTTTCTGTTTGAATCCATCCCCGTGATCGAGGCGCTTGGTTTTGGTGACGTAAAATGCGCATTGGCTACGCATGCCTACAACCGCGGTGGCGACCATCTTCCAACAGCTATAAATGACCCTGGCCCTTGCAATTTACTGCGCTTGGGCGTGCTTGCCTATCGCAGGGACGCAGTGTCTTTAATTGTCTTGTTGGTGTTTTATGGCTTTGCCAGAAATGCCGTCCCCGCGTTGTCGGCTTTGTCTGATTCATCGGACCTTTCTTGGCACAGAGTTGTGGATAAATATTTGACAGATGCAGACTGTGGGGAAACTATTAATGTCTGGTTCTATGACGACTGCAGGGCGGTAAAGCTTTTCTAGGACTTAAATTCAACAACTGTCTTTTCTTGAATTCAGATGTGGACAAGAGATGTGCAGCAGCATTGTAACTGAGATGCTGAACGGCAGCCGTTACCTGACACCCTGCATAGCCTTTAGTGGCCTGCTGGCAAAAGAATTAACCAAATGAGCACAATAATGTTGGGAAACATGATAACACTAGGACTGTGTAATGTCCCATTATACTCTTCCAGCTACTAAAAGTCGTCCTCTTATTCAGGCAACTAAGGAAGCAGTTTGCCTGGTTTGTGGCGCACAGCAGTGAAGCACTGTCCCATATAGAACACTGGCAATAATCCTAGATTATAATGGGTCCAAATGCTGGTACATGTAGTATGGATTACACTACTACATTTTTATCCTACAGTTTTGAGCAAACTGTATATACAAGCTGTAGATGGTCACCTTGATGTCAGACTGACATTCTGGCTCCAGCCATCTTGTTTGTTTCAAGTAAACTGATGGATGCCTGGCAGCTCAAGGACACTGGTCACTTGTACACTAGTGGATGCTCATTCAAAAGTAAGCCGCACCCTAATGCAGAGGCTGCTTTATCCTCTTCTCTTAACGGCGCAGCATTTAAGACTAGAAGGGATCAATTAACACCATAAACCCGTTTGGGAAAGCTTTACCGAGGACATAAATCATGGAAGATGTAAGGTCACATTCATACACTTTAAAGAGGTTTCAAGTGAGCTCTAGTAGATGTCTCAGTGCATTAATCTGGGCCTGTACTTGGCCATACGTGCTCATCTACACGTCTCAGTGGAAACTGTGCCTTGTCACACCGGTGGTGGAGCCAGGAAACGCAGTGTGTGTGCATGTGAGGTCATCTGGGGATGTTCCCTGTTGCACAGAGGCAAGCTGCAGTGCTTTCACAAGCAGTGGTTGTCATGGATGCAAGGAGAGGCTCTTTAAAGCTCAATCTCTCAACCTTAATGAAAGTGTTCAAATGAAAATGACATTTCAGTTCTGTAATGATGAAATAAAATAAAATCCAGGCTTGATTCATTGTGGGATGTGAAATTAGTCATGGAAACTTTTTTGTGAGCCAACTAGTAACCACACATTCAAATTGCTTCATAGATTATGCGTCTCGCTTTCTTCATGCTCTCTCACTCCACTCTGTTTACTCCCCCACCCCAAACCTTTTCCCTTCATTCTCTTCCCCTTTATACTTCTGCATGGCGTCCTTACGTCTTGTGTCTCATATCCTTCATTTCCTTTATCTTTACTTTTAATAGATGTCCACCATGGAGAAGCTCATTGGCCATGTGATGAAGGAGGAGCCTGTTGGCAGCAGGTGCAAAGTGACTGTAGTGGGTGTTGGCATGGTGGGCATGGCCACTGCTGTCAGTATCCTGCTCAAGGTAAGACGGGTAGGAGGGGAATAAACATGTTGAAATTAAGAAGATTGCTACTATCCTTATTTGGGGATTGAAAAAGGTTTACTCAATAGGATTTCACTGGGACAGATGTAAAGGTTGTGATGGCTAGAGCAATAGACTTACCAGATCCAACGACATTTACCAGAAATGATGTGTATGCTGTGTTATGTAAAGTTTGTTTGGTTGTTAAAATGACCTATAATATAATAATTAGGACTTGTGTGATGAGCTGGCACTGGTTGATGTGATGGAGGACAAGTTGAAGGGTGAGGCGATGGACCTGCAGCACGGATCCCTCTTCCTTAAGACGCACAAGATTGTAGCTGATAAAGGTGAGAATTGACAAACTGTCATTTAGTTTACTTACTGACTAACCTGGAGTGGAATACAACTTTTTTTTTTTTTCCCCCCTCCATCTCTTCAGACTACAGTGTGACAGCCAACTCTAAGGTGGTGGTAGTGACTGCAGGTGCCCGCCAGCAGGAGGGCGAGAGCCGTCTCAATCTGGTGCAGCGTAACGTTAACATCTTCAAGTTTATCATCCCCAACATCGTCAAGTACAGCCCCAACTGCATCCTGATGGTGGTCTCCAACCCAGGTTAGACAAGGAGTCTACATCATGTGGGGTTTACATGGTCCAATTCCTGTTCGAAGCAGATTAATGGCTGATAATTTCTCATTTGGCACCTTCCCAGTGGACATCCTGACCTATGTTGCCTGGAAACTGAGTGGCTTCCCCCGTCACCGTGTGATTGGCTCTGGCACTAACCTCGACTCTGCTCGTTTCCGCCACATCATGGGAGAGAAGCTCCACCTGCATCCTTCTAGCTGCCATGGTTGGATCATCGGAGAGCATGGAGACTCTAGTGGTACGCTAGCGACATTATTTGCGAAATTTATACTGTCACGTACAGTTCAGAATTTCCTGTTTCAGTGGGGTGTATTTCTTTCTCGTAGTGCCTGTGTGGAGTGGTGTGAACGTTGCTGGAGTTTCTCTTCAAGGCCTCAACCCAAAGATGGGGGCTGAGGGTGACCCAGAGGACTGGAAGGCAGTGCACAAGATGGTGGTTGATGGGTGAGTGTTGCAATTTATTTGCTGGAGTCTGTCATCCTCTTCAAATGTACTGATTTTTGTTTTTAACAACATGTCTGGAGTGCCTATACTATTCCCCATGAAATGCTGTGTTAGACTAAAGCTCACTTGTTCTCTTTGACTCCTGTGTCTAACTGAAGTGCCTGACAATGATTAACACTGAATCCATAAATGGCAGTAATGACGCCGTATGACCCATTATCTGTATTGGTATGTCTGAAAGTTGTATGCAACTCTCTGCAGAAAGGTTAATATTGCACCATCATTTATTGTCTGCCAATCAGTAGACTTGTATTGTAATAGCTGGGTCTTTAGAGTTCAGCCATGTGCAATACAATGTTCTTTGTGTCCCAGTTGAGTCTTATCATTTCACTTATCTTTACAAAGATGAGAGAAATCCACATGCGTTGTTTCAACAGAAGAAATGGTATCTGTAAATGTGCACCTCGGTATGGCTAGTAGAACTCATTTGTCTTGTCTTTTAAAGGCAGTTAAATATTTTAATTAAAAAAATCAATTTTGTCAATTTTGTATCCCTGTTTTCAAAACTCTTATGGGCAACTCGTCAAATTTAAGTTTCTCATGCAAATACCAGTGGCTGCAATCAATGTCTACTATAAACTTGTTAAAAGAAATCGCACAACATGACACATTTCTCCTTTCAGTCTGTTATATGCCATGCTCTTTTTTTATTTCTTGTCCATGCTGCAGAGCCTATGAGGTTATCAAGCTGAAGGGCTATACTTCCTGGGCCATTGGTATGTCTGTTGCTGACCTAGTGGAAAGTATCATGAAGAATCTGCACAAAGTGCACCCTGTGTCTACACTTGTCCAGGTAGATGAGGATTTCAGTCTTTATTTTTACTTGCTGAAAAGAAAATGCTATACTTTCCACAGATGTGACAAGGTCAGCTTGTAACTATCACATTTCCTTGCCTGTTACTGTATAGGGCATGCATGGGGTGAAGGAGGAAGTCTTCCTGAGCATCCCTTGTATCCTGGGCAACAGTGGCTTGACAGATGTCATTCACATGACTCTGAAGCCTGAGGAGGAGAAGCAGCTGGTGAAGAGTGCTGAGACCCTGTGGGGTGTACAGAAGGAGCTCACTCTGTGAAAAGCACGTCTCTGAATTCTCCAGTTGTCCCTAAAATGACACCATGTGACTCCCTCCTAGTTTCCCTCTTGTGTCTCTCATTGTAATTGGTTGCTGTCACCTGTGAATTTCATAAAAGGCCAAGTGCTTGTAACTAAACCTCTCAAAGCTGGGTTTTACGTTTGAGAGATTCACATACAGGTGTCATTTTTCCTTTGCTTCCTTCAACCTGGCCTTGATCTTCCATGAAATTTTTGGAAACTCATGCTTGTATCCGTAAAGTCAGCCTGTGTTGGAGAGTAAGTATTTGTCATCCATTTGTCCTCTCTGAAATCATGCAGTCTTTGTGCATATATATTCTGTGTACTGTATGTTACGAGTACTGTTATTGCTTTTTCTGTACACTCCTAGGTCAGTCTGTATGCATTCTGTGGCCGTTGAAGTTATGTTTCTCCACTTGGTAATCTGTTTATATCTTGGAGTATAATGGAGACATTCCATTCTGTATGAGGAGGGCTTCCTATTCACCCATAGTAACACTGCTGCATATGTCACTGGTCCAAAATCTTGTGATACCAAAGTACCTTATATTATAGTAAAGCGGACTTCCATAAACTTGCTTGGTACTGAAGCCTTCTTAAAAAGCCTAACCACAAGTGCACTGACAAAATACTTTTGGAAGCAAATTTCATGGCACACAAAAAAACTGGCAAAGTTTACATCTATTAAGGATAAAATATGACTGCCATAATATAACTCAGATAACAGAGCCAGTGGGAAAGGGTTGGGTTATGAATCATAAGACTGCTACAGTCATTTAAAACAAAAGTTGCTTGTGTACCCTAAATGTTCTAACAAGGTTTTTTTTTCCTTTTTTTTTTTTACACCACCTGACTCTGGGAAAAGAACATTAAAAACAAATTCTATTTATAAATGTTAGATCTATTTATGTATTAATGTTACAATATTAAAGAGGATTTATCAATAAGTTACTGGGAAACATGTCATGGCAGCTGGATATTAAGCTGTTTGCTGTAACATCAAATAAATCTGCCAGGATTATTCAAGTTTGTCCTGTGTTCTGTCCTGCATTTACCATCAAACCTGGGGTTGGGGGTCCGTTTGTTTGTGGAGCTGCTGGGTCAGTAGCTGTTGCCCAATATGAGGCTGATCTGAGCTTTTCATGCAAGACTTCAAAATATTTAACTTGCCTTTAAATTACTCGTATTCATACTATTCTACCTGCTCACAAACACTAGTATTTTAATTTGTAACTATCACTGGTTTCATAAGTGGTCTGTGTCAGGAGCAGTTTTCTTACAGAAAGCAGTTCTACAAACCAGTGGAGGAAATTATAGTTCATTATTTTGGCCTTTGGTGTACAGACTAGAGCACCAATCTTCAAGTTGGTACACTCTGAACCACCGCTACCTTTTGGTTGTGCAACACAGAAAATCGTTGAATAATATCAATTATGCAAGCCACATGAATGACATGACTAAAAAGAGATGACCTATTAAATCAATTTATTTGTACTGATTTACATCTTTACATAAAAGAGCAAGTTGCCTATGGTTAAACTGAGAAAAAAATAAAACAAAATCTATAATACAATTCAAAGTGCATTTAGTAAAAGGCTAAATTCAAGGAAAAAAAAAACTTTACACAAGTTAAAGTTTTGATTAGTACATTTGTTTACTTTTGTACCTCTTAACACCCAGTTTTATTCACAAATTTTTAACTTATGTTTACTTTAACCTTCTCAGCAGGACTGAGAATGGACAGCATGGGAAAAAAGAAAATAAATCAGATACAATTGAGAAATTCCTTTACGATCCAGTAATGTATGCCAAGCCTGCCACCTACCTTAGACACTCTACAGAGTGAAACAAAAAAATGTACATGATTGACTGGTTAAAGCAGTCAACGGGTATAACAAGCAGCCGCCACACACTGAAAGAACCTCTCTCTCACACACACACACACACACACCCTCCATAAGGAGACATACAAATGGAAAATCATGTAGTAATAGTAGTGTGTGCAAGTGGGATAAGAGCTCAAATTAAAGCTGAATGTCTGACCCAAACAAATCGGTTCAGGTTAATGGATATAACTTCATGGCTACTGAAACATGAACAGAAATCCTGAGGATGAACCCTTCCCTTCCTGAAAAGTACTCCTGTGTATTTACAGACATATCTTTTCATTACAAAAGGGAGTGATCATATGGGCTCTCTACAAAGCTCTTCACTTTTAGCCCCTACCATCTGTACCTACTAGCCAAATCATGTGTTATGGCAAAGAAATTGCCAACAGAACCTGTAAGCTTTAGTTTTAGGCCAAATTTAATGTCATGACAGTGTTTTTTGCTTTTAATATGTGGTCATAAAAATAACCCTCTCATGTTTAGGTCACGTCCTTACACAATGACCTCAAAGGAGTGTTTGGTTAGTTTAAAATCTAAACTGTCTAGCTACAACTATGGCTGCAATTTACCATTCAAATATGTATTTTGTCGTTGTTGGTGCTGTTCAAATTTCTATCAGAATAAATTCAATATAAGACTATAAAATAGAGCAGCTGGTTGATATACAAGATGATAGAAGAGAGTAAGAGAGCATGAAGATATGAATGTTTCTAGGTAGTAAGCGTGGGTCAGTAGAGGTCACTAAGCCCAGCAGTCTTGCGGGCTTTTTGCATAAGAGCACGAAGCTGGAACTGCTTCCTGGACAGAAGACGTACATGCTATAACAGAAAAAAAAAAAAAAGAGGCAGGTAGGTTAAAGTGTCTGTATACTTGTTTCTGCTTATATGTGCTAGCAGCTATCTAGATCTGGTTACCTTGAGAAAAACTTCCAGGTCTATGACGCCCCTGCGGAGGGCTTCGCCCAGGTAGAAGATTGTGTCTTCAATTGCATTCTCTTCAGCGTACAGGTTCAGGATCTGTTTGTACAATGGCGCTGTGGGCACAATGACGTCATCAATGTCATTATTCTCCGACTGGTTTTCCATTTTCTCCAGGGCCTCGCTCAGCTCCTCGTCTTTTCTCTTCAGCAGATCGATGTTCCTGTCAACTTCAGTCTAGTGGAAACATCGTGATGATTGCACATATTTAGCAAATCTCAAAAATGACTGCTGTAACAGTTAACTGTGGTGAATAGAGAACAAAACAAACAGAAAGATTTAACACTGAAAGTATGATCATCTCTCACCACTTCCTGGTCCAGTCTTGAGATCATCTCTTCCAGTTTCTGATGTCCTTTCTTCAGGTCCTCTTCTGTTCGCTTCAGGGCATCCAACTCTGCCTGAGCTCTGTCCATCTCCTCCTTCATTCTCCAGCGAAGCTTGTCACTCACTGCAGAAATTAGAGATGCCCGGATGGTGTCCTCGCCAATGGTGCCATCTCTGTTTGGGCCTTAAGAGGAAGAGATTATAAGTCATCTGAGACAGTGAACAGGAGAGCCAGATGGGAAAAAAGATACTACTACAACTTAAACCATAATCTCACCCAAATGTAATTATATTTGATTTTGTTAAGTCTCTTTTACACATACCATGTCCTATGTAAAAGGGCCTTTACTGTAAATTGACAAAAGCTAATCATCTTCAGATAACTGTAAAAATGATAATTTAAATCATAATTCTGTGGAGGCTTTTCTTCCACAGAGAAACTGTGCCACCCTAAGGTGAGGATGTTTGACTAAACCATAACAGACATTTTTTTCAGGTTCTTGGTTGAGGCAAGAGGAAAATGCACAGATTTCTGTCAAATATGGTAACATGGACTTGTGGCCTTTACTATATACAGAGACCAACTCCACCAGTGCACATAATCACTCCCTAAAGCTCACTATGAGCCAAGAAAAACTCTCCACTATTCCTCCTTGCATTGCAGTTATTCAGTTCAAACAATTCACACTACATTTAAAATATATCAACAGTATTTATAGGCACAGCAAGGGATCACCACAGAGAAATCTGACAACAAGGTTTATATACAAACAAAAGGGTCCAAAAGGGTGTTTTCCAGAATGATGGAAAATGAATGAAGTATTCACATGATTTTCCCAGTTAAGCCATTTATTGGCCTCCAGTTTTAGTTTCAGTTTAACACCCATTGGCCAATCTATGATTTATGTTCTGGTTGTAGCACTATCCACAGTGACAACAATATTGTAGGATGGTGGTGAAAAAAGCAACAGAAGGAAAATTACATCTTAACAAATTCATACTTTTATTGAAAAACAAATTCCATGTAGGCAACCTTACTAAGCATTACAGCTGGTATTTTGGACTGTATTGTAAAACAATTTACATGTTTATTTATTAGTGTTTTATACTAGCTACACAAGACAGTTCAAGGACTGGCAAATTCCAGATTATATAGCAGTAAATATACTGGCAAATGTCTGCAGAGTCAAGACCACCTTGTGTACAGTCTGGAGTCAGCGCCACAAATGTCAGAGTTAATTCACCCACTAGGTGACCCCATTTCTTCTCCTTTACCGTTCCAAACCTAAATATAGACCTGTGTGCTTCTGAAGTTTAAGTTGTGGGGGGCAAAAAGAAGCTTTCCCTTTCCGTTCAGGGCCATCCCACCCTTTGGCCTTTAATAGACCCCACTCTAGTTACACTAATGACCTTTCACTGGTGACTTGGTACGCTACTGAAGTTATTCAGAGGGTGAGAGAGTCGAAGTCAAAAGGTCAAGTGTCTCAGTATGGATTAACTAAAGATCATAAAGTTTTATCAAGGGTGAATAACGTTTTTTGCTGAGAATTAAAACTGTTCTACATTAATATTTCAAAGATACCTGGAAGTAGAAAACATATGCACCCAGATGCTGGATGTAATACTTACCCACTGTGGAAACTGGAGTCTGGGTGGGGTAGTGTGCCGGTCCAGCAGTGGCTGGGTAAGAGTTCCCCCCTGGGTACTGATAACTTGGGTAGCCTCTGAAAATAGTTAGATGATTGTCAAGCTAATGCTTTACATTTTCTATTCTGAAACATTTCAAGAGCGTATTTGCAAAATTCAGCTGTACATGTAACAGAGCCAGTGCTGCAGTGTCTTGATAATAAAAGTCAGTGAATACTCCACCATCAAACGTGTTGAATTTGTTGTGTCACACAGTGTTAGCTGCAGGCAGCAAATAAAAGGGCTTGGGAGAAATCTTACCCAGAGTTAGGATTTGGGCCATACGGTGACACTGCAGGCATGCCAGGCATGTAGGAAGCTGCAGCAAAGAGAGAGAGAGACAAAAAACGAGATCTCAGGACACAAAGGTCAAAGGTTTCATTGATTTTTTTGGGACTGCTCACAGGCACACAGAAGAGACAGAGATAAAGTATCAGTTTCAGTATTGTGTTGCCATAGTATGTGAGCTCCATCTGGTGCCCAAGGAAGTAAATGCACCATTAAAAAACAATCAAACAAACAAACCCCCCAAAACAAACAAAAAACTAATTTCTAACACTTTGGGGAAAAAAAATTCACAGACTACTGTGTACAAGAAATGTATGTCACTCACAATTTGGGGGTCCGGCTGCTTGAAAGGCTTGGTAAGGAGCTTGTGTGGTCGGACGAGAAAACACAGGGGGCTCCTCCCCGAACACCACAATCATCACCTGAATCAGACCATACAGGTCTGATTGAGGCTATAAAACAGTGAGACACATTTTATTAACCAAATTGCCAGGCAAGTTAAGAATGCAAATTACATCTCCAGCCACAAAGGCACTTTTTTTTGTCCTATAATCCAGCATAACGAAATGTTGCCTTTTTCTCCATCTAGTAAATTTTTTGAGCTACATTTTTGTGTGCAGAAACTCTAGTTGTCACATTACATGCTTTTAATACCTTAAAACATGTTTTTAAACATGGATTAAAAGAATTACTACTTACATGTTTCCATTCATGTAGATACGGCAGGTAAATCTTTCCATTAGCATCTATGTGCTTGCCAGTTTTGATCATCATAGCGCTGGTAGGTTTGACAAAACATATAGGTGGGTTGTAGGGATATGTGTCCAGGAGCCACAAACACACTGGGATGTTGTACACATTACCTACAGAAATCAAATACACAGTGTTATAATATAGCTATTGTCCAAAACCTTAATGTCCTCACTGCTCCCTTAATATTTAACAAACTCCATATTCTGTTATCAAGAACATATTAAGTGAAACACATTTTATGTATCTTTGTACATCAAATACACATTTAAAAAAAACCCCACAAAGTCTGATATTCAAGCAAGATTAAAAAAAACTGCTTTATGTCCACATCCACAAGGTGAGAAAGTTTACCGTAGGTTTGGCATTTGTCCTGAGATAATGGTGTAAAAAGGGAAAAAAAAGTGCAGTTAATCCAGTAAGTCAGAGTGACCACATCGGATAGAAAAAAAAGTAGTCTAGTAGACATTATAAATAGTAGTAAAAAAAAAAAAAAAAACTTCACTTAATTATGCTTGAAATTTTCAAAAATATATATAAAGTTATTAATTTATTGGAAAACCTCTTTTTAGAGAGCAAAGAAGCATCCATTACCTCTGTAGCTCACAGGAACAGTTCCTGTCAAGCTCATCAGATCTCTTGTGGAGCCATCATTAAATACTGAAATACAAGCAGATGCATGCCATTACACAACATACAAGTGAAACCAAGCAGTTAAAAACAGGAGATAAATATTACTTAATTTACCATAAGCATCCATGACTGGCTTCAAATCCTTGTACTGGGAGATCACATTGGTTATTTCACGAACAGTCAGGTCTCTGTATTTGTATTGCTGGGCAACAAGTAGAGGAGACAAAATTAATATTTTTACTTTTTGTTTTTTTTTAAATATTTTGTTTACCAAGCTGCTATTCAAAATTCAGTGCCATACAAACTGAGTGTGATCATTTGTATTGACTGATTGATTTTATTTCACTCCAAAACATATCACAGACTAAAAACATATATCACTTAATTACCAGAATAATGACTAAAAAAATACAACTGATAATAAAAGTCAACTTATTTGATAGGTATTTTGCACTGTCAGTTGAGCTAATGTTAACTGAATTATATTTCACTGACAGGCCACGTTTGTTTTGTTTTTTTATTACTATCAGAAATAATACTTTCACTCTTCAACAAATGAAGTGCAAGCTTACTGTTCTTCTAACCGCAGGATAACAGATTCTTATTACTGAGCTAAGCTCAATATCCTTAGGATTTTTACACAAACTACAAGAGCTGGATAAGAATCACGTACATAAAGGAAATGTTCAAAAGACAAATCTGAAACAGTAATAGACCTGTAACAGATCCTTGTGGTACACCACAGATAAAATTTCCAAGGAGTGACATTGAAGAACCATTATTTAATTCTACATACTGTAAACAGGACTTGAAACACCTTACAGATTAAATTTACTGCCTCTATACATTTGCTTATAAATTAGAATAATCCAATTAAAAAGCCTTGTGAACGTAAATTAGTACAATACCAGTATGGATACAATTATCCATATTAAACTCATTTTTATCAGAGAAGTGTTTAAGACCAGTGTCAATAGAGTCCCTTGGTCTGGCAACCGATTGAGAGTCATTAGCTTTTTCCCACCGATGCATCACAAACCTGGTAATAAACAATTCTCTAAAGTATTCTGAACACGACTGGCAATATAAATACAGGTCTACGGTAACCTCCAAAACTGTGGTCTCATTTTTTTTAACCAAAGTAACTTCAATTAATAATATGTGCAACTGTGTGTTCTATGGTTACACAGTTATGCCTCAATCTAATTTAGTACAATATATTTGACCAAAACAATATTTAAGATACTTTATTATCTTAAATTTGGCGAAAATTGACAGTCTATTAAACAAAACCGTACCAGGAAATGTTAAACTGGCTTCTAACGTTAGCCAGTGTCAAACAGGACGCTATGAGCTAATTTGCTATCGTTTTTCAAGAGTCAACACTCAAGCTCAAACTTACCTTTAGCATTTTCTTCAGGTTACTTTCGTTGACTACTGCCATGTTCCTCAGGTGTTTATTTTCACTTTTCTTATTAATAAGTTAAGCGTCTTAACAGCTGACTTTTATGACAGCTAAAGTGACAGCGAATGCAAGCTAAAGCTGGCTAGCGGAGCTCCGGTAAATGCAAGGCTAACGTTAGCCCTAGCTCGGGCGGACTCAAACAAGGGCGTGATTCAGCTACTACGAGAAATCTTCCAGTCTTGTAAGCGGGAACTGTATCTGTGTTCCACACGAATACTCAAAAAACAACTCATAAATCGACAAAATAGCTAACGAGTAGTTGTAAAAAGGAGCTTGAAAACAAAAACCCGATGGTCAACAAAAGGAATTTCCGGCAGTTCTCTTTAGTGCTTCCGGTCCCTGTGTGACGTGATGTGATTAACACGTCAATGTAAGATCCCCAAATTCTACGATAGCCCGTGATATAAATCTGTAAATGTACACATTAAATCAATTAATAATTACATCTTATTTAATGTTTACTGTTTTTACTTCCGTGAGATGCACACAAACAGAATCCCCACGAGGAAGCACTTGACTACCGTGGGAAGGAAGAACTCCCTTTTTACAAAAAGTGACCTAAAGCATGACATGTTCAGGGAGGGGCACTCATCTGCCACAACAGGACTCGGGGTGAGGCGAAGAAGAAGGAGAAGAAACAAAAGGGGAGCATAGCAGACAAGGACAAAACAAACATTATGGAAGAGAATATACAAAAATTATTCACATGTTGCAGTGGCATCCAAATGCATTAGGAGTGAAGGAAGCCTGCTCTACCCCTAATTATAAGCGTTATCAAGTTTGAAATCTAATTTTAAAACTAGAGAGTATCTGTCTCCTGAATCCAAAGGAGCTGTTTCCACAAGAGAGAGAGCTGCAGGCTCTTCCTGCCATTCAACTATTGGATACTCTAGAAACCATGAGTAAGTCTTCATTCCAAGAGTTTAGTGCTCTACTGGGATAATATTGGGATAATATGATATTATGAGATATTAAATATCTCATATTAAAGTAAAATTGAGACAGGCATGGTGTTGGCAGGATCACACTTTAGGTCTGTTTTGCTGCCAGTGGTATTTACAAATTCTTCTACTTTTACCTCAAATTATGATGATGATTGAAACTTAAACACAATTCCATATTCCAACAGGGCAATGATCCAAACCATACATCAAAACTGGCTTTGAAATGAGTAAAGCACACTAAATGGCCTGTATTTGTATAGCGCTTTTACTAGTCCCCACTAGGGACCCCAAAGCGCTTTACACACCCAGTCACACACTGGTGGAGGCAAGCTACAGTTGTAGCCTGGGGCAAACTGACAGAAGCAAGGCTGCCATATCGCACCATCGGCCCTTCTGGTAGGTGAAGTGTCTTGCCCAAGGACACAACGACCAAGACTGTCCGAGCCGGGGCTCGAATCAGCAACCTTCCAATTACAAGGCAAACTCCCAACTCTTGAGCCATGATCGCCACTAACATCAAGCTTCTGGAAAGGCCTTCCCAAAGTCCCAATTATGGATTATGTTTAAAAGTCTGGGCCATGCCAGCAAGCCAACCAGTTTAAATGAATTGGTCAAATATTCAGCCACAGGTATGCCAGAAGCTTACTGATGCTAAAGAGTCTATTCAAGGTACAACTTCAGGACAGCATCGCGCAATCACTGTCCACTTAACATCGATGGATCCTCTGTGGAGGTCATCAAGATCACCAAATTCCTTGGTGTCCACCTGACGGAGAACCTCTCCTGGTCCCTCAACACCAGCTCCATAAATAAGAAGGCCCAACAGCATCTCTACTTCCTGCAGAAGCTGAGAAAAGCCCATCTCCCTCCATCCATTCTCACCATGTTCTACAGAGAGCCTATCAAGAGCATCCTGAGTAGCTGCATCACTGTCTGGTATGCAAACTGCACCGTATCGGATTGCAATACCCTACAACAGATCGTGACAGCACCTGAGAAGATCACTGAAGCCTCTTTTCCCTCCAGACACTTATAGCACCTGCTCTGTCCACAGAGCCAACAGCATTGTGGAGGACCCCACACACCCCTCACACACACTCTTCACCCTGCTGCCTTCTGGCAAGAGGTACCAGAGCATTCGGGCTCTCACTACCACTACCACTCTGTACTGTACCACTGTACATGGTTGGAAATGACAATAAAAGCCACTTGACTTAACTTAGGACATTTAAACAAATATCAGTGGAAATATATGCGTATATGTGAGCCTGTATGTATACTTTTGCTCCGGTATGGATTAGAGAAAATTCAAAATAAATTCAAATGTGTTCATGTGTGTTTAAGCTTAAAAAAAAATGCAAAGCCTCTAATTCCCATGATTCCCATGATGAGTGTATAGAAACTTCTGACCACAACTTTATGTGGTATCCCAAAATCATACTTATAGTCATCAATCACACATTTAGCCATCATTTATATTCTTTAGCAGGACAAGGAAGACATAGGCTATATATATTCAGCCATTTATAGTTGCTATATTAAATATTATGTGCAAAAATCAAATGTTTTGTTAGTGAACTACAATTCCATGAGAGTTATTTCAACAATAACAAGCAATGCAGGTTTAACATAGCTATTTATTTTCAATAACAGAATAAATCAGTCAGATTTTACAAAAGATTATATTTCAGTCAGAGTCTTCCGGGTATGTGTTTACACTGATGAAAAAAGCTTATACCTATATTCTATTGACAGAGGTAGTTTTTTTCTATTTTATATCAGTTTATAAAATAAGACAGGCTTTTATAAAATGACAGAGGACCACACCCATCTAAAGTCCAAACAGCCCAGAAAATATTGATGCAGTTGAGCAACATCTTTATGAGGCACTTGTAAAGCAATGAAGGTGGTTAAAATGTTTATTGCTACCACACAAAATCAAATGAAAGGGTGCTAATTTGTGATGAAAATCATTTGAAATATAAAAATACAGCATGCTTTTTCATATCTGAAGACTTCACTATTTAACACACAGTCAATAGATACCATATCCACAATATGGGGGAAAAAAACTGACAAAAACGTTTCTCTCACAAACTGTTGCCAAATTGCACAAAATACTAACAATTAGTTTCATTTTCTTGCTGAAAAGGTTGCCCGTCTTCTCTTGTTAAAGACAGATATAAATTTCCATCTGTGTCTGTAAATACTTCTGGTTGTTTGTGGAACTGCAGCCAACCTGAACAAATAGAATAAATATCGTTAATCAAATAATGATCATGTCTGACATTCTGACAAGTGAAAGGTATTTTCAAACTCAATCAGGCGGATCCTCGATTATTGGCTCCATCTTATCAGTATCAGCTAGGACACAGATGTTGTTTTTGACACCATAGAGGCTTCTTTTGAGCTTGTGTGTGCTACTTACAAGAGGCTTGCTCAGGCTCTGGAGAAGGCTTCATACACACAGGAGGAAATTCTCCAAACACGGCAACCATCACCTGAACAAGGCTCATTAGGTCACACTCCCCCTAATAATAGAAGGAAAGGGTCACTTTCATGCGCTCTGGCTGTAGAGTTATGCAACCACATTGTGTCAGTGCCAGCAAAATCAACCCCTAATCAACCCCACATGCAGCTTTGTCGAAAACAAATATTGCTTCAATTCTCACATTCTTCCACTCTCGCAGGTAAGGCAGCATGACTTCACCATTGCTGGAGATATACTTTCCGCTGAGGATCATCATCTGTTGTGTGGGTCTGATATAGCAGATGGGAGCAGTTTGGGGGTAGGTTTCCTCAATCCACAGGCAAATGGGAATGTTATATGTTATATCTTGTATAATGGCAAAGAGAAAGATATCAAAATCAGAGAGATTCTTAACCTTTCATATTTTTTGTTTGAAGTTATTCTGTTATGAAAGAGAACAAAATGGAATGCAAATGTTATTACTGTTAATCGTGGCAGGAATGGTTCCGGTTAAGCTCATCAAGTTCTTTGTAGTTCCATCATTGTAAACTGTACAAAACACAGCAAAGGCAGTTACTGTTACAATGCAACGTTCCTTTTTCCACCGAGTTTACAAAGTTTGGCAGCATTGGACTGTGAACCTTACCATATTTATCCATTACGGGCACAAGGTTTCTGAAGTAAGTTAATGTCACGTTTATTTCATGAGCCACACACTTCCGAAGATATATCTTCAAAACATAAAATAACAAAAAATTAAAAGGAGAATAGACAAAAAACAAACAAACACTGGAGAAATCTGTACATGAAAATACAGCCGCTGATCCAGCGATAAATGAAACATTCCTTACCTTAGGAAGCATTTTCTTAATCGTATCTTCGCTGTATGGCATGATTAAAGTTTCTCTGAGAAGAAAATGCCACCTTTTTTTTCATTCAGTAAAACTTTGTTTGACTGTGTCAGACCTGCGAATGTCTGCCTGTCATGGCTTTTCGAGAACCTCTTATCTTTTATGACCCTTGAAAGCCAGGAAGAGAGAGTATGCAAATCTTCCGTGCTGAAAACCAATAACTACTCTACATGGCTTAAAGAAGAGGCATAAAAACATGAAGTGACTTGCATCATGGGTCACTGTTAGATCAATCTGCTAGCATGTGTCTTGCTTTTTGCTTCCTGATTTAGTGATGACACTAACTTATCACTGTCAAATAAATCATTTCATTCATACCATTGACTCTGTGGCACTAATATAAATAACAGTCAACTCCAGTAGTGACAGAATAGAAATAAGTTCCAAATGCTCTGCTTTAGTTGAGCTAATTTAATATCATAGATACCATTTACTCATGTAAAACTGGGAAATACGTAATACACTTCAGTGATTTTCTTATACTATACAATGTTCCTTGTTTAGTCCTTCCTTCTTTTTCAGATGCTGGAGGTGACTGAAATACACAAGCCTGACCCACTATTGCTGACTTTTATTGAATTCAGTTGTAAAGTAAGCCAAATAACTAACAAGTGTGAATCCCACATCAATCAAACTTTTTTTTTTTAAACCAAGGCTTCTTTTGAAAGCCTGCTCCCTTATTCACTACGTGGTCACCGCCCAGTTTTCATTAATGAATGTAGGGCCCTATCGCTCGTTATCACTATAACTTAAATGTAATATTTTAATTTCTTCTAACATCTAACCATCCTGAAGGGTTTTAAAAACTACACGTTAATGTTCAGTTGTGCAATATTAAATTTGTTGTCACTGCAGTGTTACATGGTAGAGTCATGTGTAAACACAGGGTTTATGATTGCCCTTTGAACCCCTTATCAGAGCTGTATTTTCTCACATTATATAGGCCTCATGCTGTTGTACACTGGGACTCTTCCTTATAAGCAGTTAAATATAAAACATTTATCAAGAATATCTATATATGTCATCAGCTTTTATTATAAGACAAAAGCAATAGTTACTTTTGTCTTTTTTTAAACCAAAGCTGTCCCAGTCCTTCAACTTCACGGCAGAATACACATAGTAGCCTGCAGGGGGAAGCAAATCACAAACTTAAGAACAAAAGTTTGGTGGCGAGTGGACCAAAGCAGTTTGATCTTGACATCTTTATTCCTGTCCTGCAATACATTTGCCACATTTTCAAGAGTAAATACATCTTAAATAGCTAAACAGTTGACATTTTCACAAAATCCATCCACGCGCCCATTCCACAGTCTGCAAGGGGACAAACAAGCCCTTGAGCCCACCGAATCCTTGTGCAAAACCCCCAATGGTCCTGAAAGTCTTTGTCATGCTCGCCAGGTTTTCAGACATGTATACTGGTGGTTCACTGGCTGAGTATTGCGACAACATGATGCTTTTTCTAATGCAATGGTAATCTGAATGCATAGATTTGTGAAATTCTATGGTATTATTATATCACGGATGTACTGTTTAAAGATTAACAAGGATACCACAAGGACTGTAATTACATACTACAAACTCCACGCTCCTTTTCCATTGAAATGTCTGAGTACAGTGGATGAAAAATAAAAGCTGGGTACAACACAGCCAAAAGTAGGGCCCCTACGATTATCCCTCAAATAATGTAAGCAATATAAATTGTAAAATCGAGGCTTCTTTCAAACAGTATCAAGAGAGTCAAACACATTCACAGTTCATATCCTTCCTCCAAGCAGAGAAAAGAACACAAAACCTGACCACCATCATCCAGACAGTAATTAGACTGGTCATATTTCTGTAAGCAATGGTGGGAGTGAAAGAGAGTTCATTTGCATGTACAATATCAATTAGGTCAAAAAATAAAAACACTGTTTCCTTTAAAAGAAGGACAATGGCCAGATAAAGTTTGTCATCTGTTACATCAGAGCTTTGGATTTGAAGCAACAGGCTTGTAGTGTTTAGGACTCGGTACATTTTGACACATGCCCAATTCAGTGAACTACTATAATCTAGATATAATCTGTGCTAAATGCAACAATTTAGTCAAATCACTATCACATGTTCCAATGTGATAGAACTGAAATGTCATGAATATTTGATTATGACAAATTGGCTTATGCTGGGTTCTCTCTAAAGTTCATTACTACAGAAAAGCCCGTCTGTGTAGTGTTTTTAGGGACCTGTCTTTCAAATTCTGTACAGCGCATGTCGAAAGTCAACACACTCGTGTCTTTTTTTTTTTTTGCACACATAGTTAAAACAAACAAACAAACAATTCAGCAAACTGAACAGATGACCATCTCGCTGCACACATGAGGTACGACCTAGCTAACAGATAAGGCAAAGTAAACACACATCAGTCTTTTTATTCAGGCAGCAAATTAATCCGGTTACGGAGCGCACAAGCCTGTCTGTAATAAGAAACACAAAACAATGCACTCCCATATCCCGCTCCTTACACCTGTTACACACAATAGTCCCACATATACAGTAAATATGGTTCTGACATGACTAGCACCTGACTTGATATTGTTCCTTTGAAAAGCTGAAAGTGGCAGATAAAGCAGAGCAGTGTGAGGATAGTCTGGTGTGTGGAAAAACTGAAGTTTTACTCTGAGGCAGGACTTGTGCATTACACTTTGCAAAAACTAACTTATGACATCTATTAATCCTGGTTTCCTGGACTGATAGATATCCTCCGGGACACCAATTCCTGAGCCTTATCGTCCACAAGGAGTGATTCTTGCAATCTAAAAATAGCTGTTGTACACCATACAGCTACTAAAATGAAATGCAGAGACTTTTTGCATTGCTGTTTTGTTTTTTTTTTGTTTTTTTAAATCGACTCGCTGCCAACTTTAAGGTATTTATCCCATTCTACAGGCAACCTATCGTGCTTTTGCAACTGCAAAGATAACAACAACTACATTTTCATGCACAGTACCTCTCCTTCTTAAACAAAAAGTAAAGCAGAAAAATAAGTAGTCATGACACAGGGTATATTCCCAATACTTTGTAATTTGGAAAGTAAATTATTCTATTGCACCAGAATCTACGTACACTAACCATTACTATTATTATTCCACAAGACGACTCGCAATGAAACATCTGTAAAGAGAGAAGGCAGCGGTAAGCCATCTATCTAGAAATTCTCCATTCAAGAGATCTAGTCCAAAAGGATCTTCAACTACCTCAGGCAGGTCAAAAAAATGTCAAACCAGGTGCCAGCTGAAATAAGCACTTTCAAAACTGCCAATCAAAAATAAATGTTTCATATCAAATACAAAAATCAAAGATTTTTTTTGTTATTTTACAGGTAGGCTAATTGATAAACAACAAAAAATACAGTCTTTCCCATGTCAGCATCCACCCCCTGTATCCAGTTAGAGCGCAGGGATTTCATTGCCATTCAAAAGAAACCAAAGGCAGGTAGGGTGAAGCGGGAATGGGATGGGTTAGCATGAGAGGTGTTGGGTTAACTAAAAGTCAATTCCAGTTCTTTCCACTGAAGTCACTCATTCCTTCCAGCAGCTAGGTGGGGGATGGGGAGTGGAATCAGGCTTTTAAGGAGGGCGGAGGTGAGATACCCGCCCCCCCAATTACCAGTGTTGAGACTGAAAACAATAAGTTAGCAGGAAAGTTGTGGAGCTACCCAGCGACGCCACATTGCAGCTGACAAAGAGTCATTAGTGGTGTTGCTCACAGGTCGATGTGGACCAACAAAAAAAGATGGGGCTGGACCAGTCTAGTTCCGCTAGCCACTTAGGCAACAGTCCAATATTCCCCTTTCCATACAAGTCTATAGTTCAGTCAGCCCTGATGGTTTCTGTCAGGGCTTTTGTTTCAATCATCCTTTTGTTGGAAAAGTTTTTGTTTTCATCGTTGGGTTGTTTCATCTTCCAGTCCTTAAGTCCATGCTGCCACTTTGTGCCGTAGCGTTTCTCAACATGTAGCAGTGAGCTGGGCAAAGAAAATGACAAGATATAATTAAAGTTTTAAAACTCAGATTGTTTCAAAAGTGCTTTTTTTTTTTTTTTTTACAATGAGCATCATCTACACAGAGTTACAGGTGGTCAACAAATGAATGGTGAAAGCAATAGAACAGAGATATCAAGCTCATTTTCCATGTTTGACCTTAAGTGGGCCAGACCAGTGAAGCACCCCTTTCTGCCATTGCAAGTACTATGTCTCAGTTTCTCTGCATGATAAAGAAATAATTCTCTAGTAAATGGAAGAAATCTGTCAGCACGACTCTTTGGGACTAAATTATAAGTAATAAATGTATCAAATTACAGAAAAAGTAGCTCATTGCCTTTTTTATTGTAAAAGGACTATCTACAATGGAATTTTATATTGTAGATGGTGAAAAATCATAGACATTTTCTTATTTAAATGCTCACCTATTTGTTAATTACTTTAGTGTAATATGAAGTTTTTTATCGGAAGGAAACATGGTAAAACTTCAAAATATATGGCCTTTCCAAAGCTGTCCTGTGGGCCAGATCGGAGTCTTTGGTGGGTGAGTTCTGGCCCCTGGGCTGTATTTTTGATACCCCTGCAATAGAGCTTTGGGCTACCATGTGCTTTGATCGCTCAGGCTCTGGAGCTCTGAGAAAATATTTCCAAAATTTATGTGTGACTCTGGTGCTACCTAACATATCAGTCCAAAATCTCCCTTACATGTTCAGTTACAATAGCATATAACATCATTTTCATACTCATCAATCAGTGGCTGCTTGTACTCTATGGTTGGGGGCTTTGTCAGCCTGGAAGAGGCCAGCTCCCACCCTAACAGGATAAAGGTGAACAACTTTGTATTAACTTGTAATGATATGTCCCTTTAAAGGTAAACCCTCCCCAAAGCCAGTGAATTCCATCATTCCATGCATTCACAACTTAGCTTTGCAAACTGATTTGGTGACCATTACTGTGTATATAATTTCTCACCTGCATCACGACACCACACAGCGACAGCTCATACAGTCTTGACCACTCTCATCGGGTGGGTTCAACTTCCTCAACTTATGCTGCCTGATCTCTCTAACCAGTGTGTAGAAGGCGTCCTCTACTCCCTGTAAACACACACAAACACACAAAAATGTTACAGAAAAATCCAGGCACTTAAAACGCTCCTATTCAAGGCTCCCATATTAAATGCACGTCTTCTGACTGACAGCAAAGCTTTTAGGTGTGCTCACCAATTGGCAACATTACCATGACAACCTTAATCATTGCGTGCACTGAGAATTATTAAATACATTGTCAAGAAATCATGATGACTAAAAAGACTGCATTTCTTTACTTCTTGCATTTCCTTTTGAGTGACAGATATTCTGCAGGTGTAGCGATGAATGCGAGTATGTATGTACCTACATAATGTGTCACAGTGAGTCACAGACAGTGGGAGCTGTGAGGCAACTGGTCCTTATGAGCCCTTTCAAATACTGTAGCTCTGTTCTCAAGCCAAGGTAACCTGGCTATGAGTCACTGCCTGCAGCATAATAAAATGCTCCCAGCAACACAAATCACATCATAGCGCATGGTCTGCTGTAAGATGCGCATGAATATTTTTGCAAAATGTGAAATTAAACAGCCTAAATAAGAACACTGACATAACCTGCAGATAACATAATGATGCAGCAAAATTAGCATATGAGGAATTTTAAAGATTCAAACACCAATAAAAGAGGCAGGACACGAGAAAAGTATTCCTCTGCGGAAAAACGTTATGTTGCTCCTTACTTTATGTAAACTGCTTACCTGCCGTGTTTTGGCAGAGGTCTCAATGTAGGGGATGCCATAGGAGCGAGCGAGCTCATGGGCTTGCCTCGTGTCCACCGTGCGCGCAGGGAGGTCACATTTGTTTCCCACAAGGACCATGGGAACATCATCGGAATCCTTAACACGTTTAATCTGTTCTCTGCGTTGCAAAACAAGAAAATTGAAAATTTAGTTTATTTCATTTCCTTATTATTATTTTTGTTCCTTGATACATCCAAGCACTTTATTTAGCCACAGTTACATGTCTGTTGG